ACGCACGCGCACCACTTTGCTGTACTGCTGCTGCTGTTTACTGCACACCAAGGACGCAGCAACACACCGTAGGGATCACCTTATCCGCGCCATCAACGCTCACCCCTAGACTCCTCGACGCTAGCCCGCAGGTGGCTGTCAGGTGCTGTGCCCTCCGTGTCGCGCGCGTCGCGGCGTGTCGATGCTGGTCATGGGTGTGTGTGACGTCCGTTCCCGGAACGCGGCGAGATAGAGCCAGTTTGCCGCTCGCAGTCCAACTTTGGACGGGAAACGCGGATGCTGTGGTCAACCGTGTGGTCCACGGCTTTGGCCCACTGTTGGTTGTATATGGCAAGACCCCCTCAGGATCACCGATTTAAGGATCTCCACTGTAGGCCGAGCTATGCTTGAATAACTTGTTCTCGCGGTGTTTTGGCATTTTTTGGGGGGGCCCGTGCGATCATTTTTTTAGGACAAAAAAAAAAAAGATTTTGGTGGGGTGTGCAACACAGGTGTTGAGAAACAATTATATGAAGCCCTCAAGTGAAGGTGAGAGGAGAGGCCGGAGACTGGCTCTTTCCTTTGGTGCGATGTGGCGAGGAATGCCAAGCGCGACCTGACTGAGCGAACTCAGTCAAGCTAGGGTGGTGCGGAGAGTGGGCGAACGTTCGTGGACTCATTTTTCCCAGCGGCCCAAAGATTCATCAACCATTCGCAGCTGTTGGAAATCAGAAGAGTAACGAACCGTTGGGAAGGAACATAATTTTACCACAGATCCCTCAGATCCTATAACTACTGCTGTTTCTGTAATGTTTGTCTGGGTGCTTCCTGAATCTCCATATCCTGACCTCCACATAATCTTCAAATTACGTAGACAACGACTGCACGTCGCGCACTGGCAAAGTGGGTGGAATGCCAGGGTTGATACTTTCAGACCCAACCAGCCCCCCCGGCGACGAAAAACGATGTTGTTCCATCTACAAAATAAAGGCTTTCAGGACGGACCCGGAGACAAGAAACAAACGTCAATATCGCGGCCCAGGTGTCGTA